TCATTTGTTTTGTGACACATCCTATCTTGGTATGACGCATTTTCTTTTGTTAAACTGCTCTATGTAAATGATTCAGCAGTGTTAATGCGTGTGTATTTTTGCTCTGAGGAATAAATGTGCTACGTGTCTGAGCCTTGGGGCCGTTGACGTGATCATGTGTGTGCAGAGGTGCGTAAGTGTATATTTTAACTTCTAGGCTCCAAGAGATATCGCAATGGAACCAACATTTCAGTGTTGATGTCCACAAGTAAAAAACCGAAATGGCTGCAATTACGTAAAAGCTTTTAAAACAACACAATATCAGTCTAAAAGCAGCTCCTTGTAATTTATACCTCAACATGTTCTGAAATGCATGCCAGTCTTGACTTTGTTTGTTCATGTATGAAGGTTTTTGTGCAGGTTTAAGTGTCCCTACTTCAGCCCTGACCTAAACTTCCATTGCCCCTGGGCCCGTGTCAGGAGCAGTGATACTTCACAGCAACACCATGTTTTTCTTTTTCTTCCTCAAAATACAAAAGCCCACAGGCATCCCAGCAACTGTGGGGAAATATACCATATCTCCTTCTTTTTTCAATCAATCAATTGTATTAATAGAGCCCTTTACAACACTCAAGGCGACCAAAGTGCTTCACAATAAAATTACTTAAAATCCATTAAAAACATGTTTACATTAAAAACAATAAAACAGATTAAAAAACATTTAAAAAGTGTCACCTGCTGTTGAGTGATAAAAGTGTTAAAAGCCAGTCTGAATAAATACGTTTTGAGCCTGGATTTAAAAAGGCCAAAATCAGTGAGGACGGGCATATCAGTAAGTAGTAAGTAAGTAAGTAAGCTTTATTTATATACCGCCTTTCACAGACCAGAGTCACAAAGCAGCAGGGGGCAGCTTATTCCAGAGTCTGGGTCCAGGACTGAGAAGGACCAGACTCCCCAGTGTTTAGACCTAGGCCCCGTCCCAATACTCGCACTTCCACCCTCGCGCCCCTCATTTGCGCGTTCCCGATAAAGGGTGTGAGTACGTAGGGTGTCCCAATTCTCCAGGGAGGTCTTTGGCCCCGCCCCCTTTGCGCCCCTGATCCACACTTCGCCGTAGCCTGCATCTATGCGCACTCTGGCGAAGGATATTGCCCATAATTCTTTGCGGTACACACCAAAACGTTGGGAAAATGCATTTAAATATACATTTTGAAATATATATGCAGTATGTGTGTAAATAAGTTTTGCTGTTACTTGGAAAGAAGCATAAACGTCTGATGAAGAATTACGGACATTGTGTTTTAAAAATTTAATAACTTTTTAAACCAAGCGTTTATATAACATTCAATTTAAACTTTACACTTAGTACAATAATCTTAGAATGTATAAAAACTGACCAGATAGTTAGTTACCCACATTTAACTTAAAATTATACAGCTATCTCTAATTAAAAACAACTAATATACATGTATTTTAACGTGTGTGAAGCAATTCAATTTGTTTCCCAAAGGGTCAGACAAAGTTACCTTTAATGTTTATAAAGTTTAGGTCTGAAAATGACCATCTCTTGACGAGTCGATGACGTAACCTGCACTCACTGCGCACTGTCCCAATTCTGCCTTTTTTGCACACTTGTAACCTGCGCACTCCAACCCTGGTGTGCACTTCAGACAAATGCACACTTCATAGGAGGGCGTAGGGGGCAGTGTGGGTATTGGGACTGGGCCCTAGTCCTAGGCACTTCCAGGAGGAGTTGAGATGAGGACCTCAAGGATCTGCCTGAGTCACGAACAGACAAAACCTCAGAAGGCGAGACCATTGAGGGCTTTAAAAACAAACAGAGTAAAATGTTTAAATCAACTCGAAACGAAGCTGGAGCCAAAGTAGGGAGTAAAGGACTGGGGTGATGTGTTCACGTCTGGGTGTTTTTGCACCAACTGAAGACGATTAAAACAAGACTGGGGGACTCCGAAATAAATGTTTTGATCTAGTTTCATTATTTTACTGACACGCCTATTAGCAAGCCGGTGTTTCATTTATCGTACAGTCAGAACCTGCTCGTTCAAAACCCTGGGATTTTCCGTATGTGTGTTTACTATGATCTCACTCTGGATCACCTCATTCCCACATCTGCAGTCGGCTCTGGGCAGTTCTCCTCCAATCCTTCATTCTTCTGACCCCAGGAAGTGATGCGCAGGAAGGAAGGACACCATATTGTTTCTGTGGTGTGTGTTTGTGTGTGTGAGTGGGCCTATTGTGTGCATTCTGGAGTCGTAGTAAAGGAAAAGCCCATTGTCTCATTCAATATGTTGGCAAACCGGAGCTGTGGTGATGTCACAGACGCAGGTGAAAGGCATTAATCCGCTAATTTGAATGAATTGAGAATTTTTACACAAAATTGACTTTTTTATGTCAGTTCGTCAGTCAATGGAATCAAAATGATGCATTCGAATTTGGGCTGTAGCTTACAAATATTTTTTGAAAGATAATTGTTAATTCTGATTAATTAATTACTCTATAAACAGGATACATTTCTCGTGTTTTTAGTGGTAGTTTTGTGTCCGACTGTTGATTTGAACAGTCAATCTATTAATGGTTGATAATAGCTGGTAATAACAGACATTCACCTTTGTTTTTGTATTTATTTATTTATTTTAAACATGTATATACAGACAAAATGCTTCACATGAATTCTGAGCACATGTTTGAAAAGGAGATAAAAGGAGATAAACCTTTTATTATCTGTTAAACTTGTTTACAGAAAAATATATGAGAAAATATTGAAAGCTGTTTGGGAAGCCAGGTCGCTGTATAGTTTATAATAATTCTGCTGCTTTGGCGTCTAAAAGAAATAATGCTTCATATTTCAAGTTTCTTCCAAACTCACAGAAATCATTGTTGGTCATTATTTGAACTTTGGTCAAAATTAAAAACGGTTAAATCTGGAACTTTGAAATAAACAAAAAAATAATTGCATCAAACCCATGGTCCTCGTTCTCAAAGCGGTTTGGTTCCATCCCCGACACATCGTGCATTGTTTGAGCCACGCCACAAATGAAAAAGCGAATGCACTTTCAATCCTCATCCAAGCGTTCTCAAATATGTTTTGTCCAGTGTCAGTCTCTCGTTCACACGGAAAATCAACACGGGTCTGTAAAGAATATCTGTAGAGTTCCACTGCTCTGTATGTGGGCCCTTTCTCAGCAGTGTTGAGAAACTCTAAAACATTTTGTCCCTTTATTTTGCTCCATTTTGTTCATGGTAATGCAACAACATACCACAACAATCCTGCAAGTACAACAGTAATACCTTCCATGCAAAAAGAACAGAGGTAGGATGAAGAAAACAATCTTATTCTTGGGTTTCATTAAACTGGCCAGTAGGGGGCGCATGAGCAGAGGTGGGACAGTGTTGCTCCCATTGAAAACCATGTAAAGTCTGTTTTGGAGTCAAAGGCTCTCCTCCTGTGCGGTGTACGGTTGTTGGAACAGTCTTAATTGGGGACACTCAATTCTAAAGAAGAACTAACAAATATGTATCAAAAGAGTCTTGATTTTGGGGATTTTTGGAAAGAAAAACAGAAGAAATTGCTGCGTTTCATTGGGGTGGCCTGCAGGGGGCGCTTATGTGGGAAAGCCTTGATCCACCTCGCCCGCCTCATTCCAGTGATTTTTTTAAAGTGTCCTCCTTTATATGAGACCACAGTTGGAACATGAACAAACTCTGGTCTTTCTCTGTATTTGTGCGGTTGCTTCAAGCGTACACCGCACACAAAGATGGCGTTTTGACAGCGCTTCTTCTTCTACTATATCGCCGTGTATAAACCCGGCAGACTGCACCGCCAGGATACGTCACGTCCTGTCTTACGTTTGTTATTCACACCACTGCCCTGACGTCATATGAAACACAAGAATAAACTCATACCCTATTCTTACATAAAGAAATGCCCAAATTAGCGGCAAAAATACGAAAAATATCTCAAATTATTTTAAATATATAGACATTAAGATCAGCCCAATCTTAAAAAAGAAAGTAAAACAATTGTACTTTTTTGGGTCGATTCCCATTGAAATGATGATGCAATATTTTACCAACTATAGTGTCCTTCCACGGCCACGGTTAATCAATTCTAAAGACTGTTGTTTTGTGTTTTGATGGTAGCCTTCTCCCGACAGCTCAGTGAACAGGCAGGTTACCGACACCTCTGTATGCTTTGGAGTTTTCCAAATTCAATTCTCAGTCCATGGTCCAAACACTCAGGAAATGTAGTGATGTGAGAGGTTAGCCCCTGCTTCCTGTGTGGCCTGATAAACTGCCGTAGAGGATACAGGTCATTGCACTGCTCTATAATAGCTCATTCTCATCATTTCATTTCAGCAGGATGTGATACTGACTATATTCAGACAGACTTGGAGAAGGGCCAAACTGTCAATCCCAGGGTCACATTACGCATGAGGAAAGTAAAAGTCATGTATTCAATTCTTAATTTGAAACCGATAAAGAAGACGTGCAGTGCTGCTGTCTGCTATTCAATACCAGGCCCCAGATAGAGCTAGCAATCAGCAGGATTTTAAACGTCAAGCTAAAATGCGAATCATCCCTGTGTCCTATATTGACAAGGGCACAGTCAGTGGGGTATATACAGTGGGGGAGGATACAGTTGTTGCACTAAACAACAACTTTGAGGCTACAAATAACGAGGGATGGCCGCTCTTTAACATCGTCGAGAAAATGTCGACGGGGAAGTCCACAAGTATGCCCATTGTCCCCTTTACTATTCTTTCTCTGTTTAGGTGCGAGGCTTGCAGCACCCCCATGATATTTTTAGCTCGTTCGATGGTACGTGCACTTTTGAATAGGACCCAGGCCGGTGTCAACACTAAACCATTTATATGTCCACAGCAGCACAGACCAAATGTGCTCAAACAATACATCTGTGCCGTTACGCAACAGGCTAAGATAATAAGCAACGTGCTGGGCTTCAATGTATCCACTGTGATGTTTAAGAATAACATGAATATATGGGGGAGGGGGGGGGGGGGGGGGGGGCTCTGACTGAGGCTCTGACTGAGGCTCTGACAGAGCCTCAGTCAGAGCCTCAGTCAGAGCCTCAGTCAGAGCCTCCACTAGAGCCTCAGTCAGAGCCTCAGTCAGAGCCTCCACTAGAGCCTCAGTCAGAGCCTCAGTCAGAGCCTCAGTCAGAGCCTCCACTAGAGCCTCAGTCAGAGCCTCAGTCAGAGCCTCAGTCAGAGAGCCTCCACTAGAGCCTCAGTCAGAGCCTCAGTCAGAGCCTCAGTCAGAGCCTCCACTAGAGCCTCAGTCAGAGCCTCAGTCAGAGCCTCCACTAGAGCCTCAGTCAGAGCCTCAGTCAGAGCCTCAGTCAGAGCCTCCACTAGAGCCTCAGTCAGAGCCTCAGTCAGAGCCTCAGTCAGAGCCTCCACTAGAGCCTCAGTCAGAGCCTCAGTCAGAGCCTCCACTAGAGCCTCAGTCAGAGCCTCAGTCAGAGGGGACTGTGTGCTCCCAAAGCTCAGAACATCTTTTGGACAATACAGCTTCTCCTTTAGGGTTAAACTGGAACTCTCTCCCCACCGGACTGAAACTACAAACTAACATGACCATCTTCAGCAGAGCTCAGACAGTGGTGAAGATCCAGACAGACCTGTTCTCACGTGTAAATTATATTGCAATTCTTTTAAATGTATTTTATCTTCTGCACTGTAAAAACCCTGTGGACTAGTGTGGAAAATTAGCACCTGTGCTTTAACACTTACAGCAATGCATCTGGTTCGTCCAATGTTATTGTTATGTCCATATTAAAGAATTCTCTGCACTTCAACTTTTTTTTTTGTGTAGGCTAGTCAAGCGGCCACCCTGCTTCCATTTGTCCATTTGAAGCGGGATGGCCAGAGTCAGTAAATGTCTGTGTCTGTTCGTAAATGCATCTGTTATCTGTAACGTGCTGTTTGTATGTGTTGTTCATCTGTCAACACAAAACACCAAAAGAACATTTTCACCATATTTTCCTGAAATGTTGTGTAAATCTCGGAAATGGACAATGAACAAATGATTCGATTGTGCGTCCTCAGCAACAGGCCTGGGCGCTTGAGTGTTCTGCACAGTTATTGTCAGGCTACTCTGTGAAAGTATAGCTATTCGGTTCTTCATAATTGCAGGTGATTCAGAAAGCTATTATATTCTTAGCTGATTTTCTGGACACACTCTCTCACTTTTTTAATTAGTCAAACGCTTTATTACTATGAGTTATCGTGCCCTGCCCCAGATTTGCTTTAGCAGTGGCTGCCCCGGCAAAGTGCACCTGTCGGGGACTTCTCAGTGACGCCCTTGAGTCCAAATTAAGACCATCACTCTCATATGAACCAGCAGCAGACTGAAGATTAATTTACTGCAGAGCTTTGGGAGTGACATCCGTGGACACACTATTCATTGTTTACATGTTTTAATAAGAGCGCTCTTAACAGACTTCAATTTGTGCAAAATTCCACTGCCAGACTTTTAACAGGAACCCCCCGGTGGTCTCCCATCACCCCGGTCCTGTCCTCACTTCATTACCTCCCAATTAAATTACGTATTGATTTCAAAATGTTAGTTTTAACTTTCAGAGCCTTAAATGGTCAGGCTCCATCTTACATCTCGGACCTCTTGCCCCCACACTGTTCTGGCCGCACTCTCAGGTCCGCAGGCCAGAATTTACTTGCGGTCCCAAAGACCCGCTATAAGACCCGGGGGGACCGGTCCTTCCAGTCCGTGGCCCCCAGACTGTGGCCCTGCCTCTGTCCCTCCGTGTGGTCAACTCTGCCGATGCTGCCGAGGGACAGCTTTTAGTTCATTTCTGGTTTTATATTGTTATTTTCTATTTTTTCTTGTTTCTATTGTATTTACATATCTGCTTTACCTTAAAGCACTTTGGGATTTTTATCTGTGAAAGGTGCTCTATAAATAAAATGTACTTACTTACTACTATATTCTCGCATGATTGTTCCTCCCACTTTTTGATTAGTTAAATGATATATTACTGAGACGTCATATCATAGATGGCCTTTAGCAGATTTTATTGCATACTTTTTTTGTCATTTAGAAAGTTATTTTGCCTGGTTTTAAATCTAGCTAGTTCCACCCACTCCCACCTTCTTTCTGCCCCTAGTGAGAGGTGTGACATCAGTGTGACGTTCAGGCCTAATTTCTGGCCTTCTAAGTAGGTCACATTGCTCCTTTTAGTCTGACTTTCAAAATGGTGGCGATGGGACCGCACTGACACTGTCTTCATGAAGGGGACTTTCACAGTTGTGTAGTTCACTCATTGTTAGTGGTTGTGTGACGCCATTTACGGTCAATTAAGCATGTTTTATTTTCATTATTAGAATTAAAATTATTAAGCCACTTTTTGAATTTGTGAAGGTTTTTACGTTTTGTTTTGCAGGAGGGCAATGACATTTATTGACTTTTATTGACATTTATGGATATTGGTCATCCACCCTATAGGTAAACACTAGGTAAAATCCTCCAGCTCTGGTAGTCTTGACCGAGCTGAGCATCAACATCCGGAGACGGGTTCCCGGGCGCTGTTACTACGGCGACCACATTGATAAAGTGCACCTTTACCTTTACCCTCTATGGACAAATGGCTCCTATATGTTTGCTATTATTGATTTTCCTGTGTTTGTATTGATTGTATTTTATTCTCTTATCTGTGTTGGCAAATTAACAAGTTGATATAAAAGTAAATTTAATTGAATTCATGTATCCTAAAGAACCTCATCCACAACCACCGCAAAAGACTGAAAGCTAACTTCACAATTTGACAATACATAGCTTCACACAACCACTGACAACAAGTGACAACAGTTTTGGCGTTATAATTAGTTATATCAGAAATATGTTGAGCACACAGCCAAAATTGAGTTTTTACCATTTTTGACTGTGTTTTAGCTTATTACACCTGTCATTTCTCACTAAACATGGTTTTTGGAGTAAGTAAGTAAGTAATGTTTATTCATATAGCACATGTTACAGACCAAGGTACAGACCCAAAGCACTTTCCAATGTTCAGAGTCAGATATTGTTCCAATCCTTCCACACACGGTGATGACAGAAGCGAGTCCAGAACACACTGGACCATCAAAGCCTCTGACCCAACACCATCCATTCACTCTCTCATTCACATTCAGACCTATTGTGCATGTTTTTAGTGGTAGGGGAAACCGGAGCACCTGGAGGAAACCTATGCAGACATGGGGAGAACATGCAAACTCCACTCAGAAAGGAGAGATTCATGCAGGCTTTAGTTCTCTAAACTCTATGACACTTTCTGTTTTGATATCCCCAATAAGCCGAGCACATGAATATTACCAATGGGGAATCCCACCAACATCTCCTCTCGCCGTTACATTGCACACACTACACCGTGCACGTCCACAGAATATCCCCCGCTGGTGTTTCCATAGAAACGTCCCCCCTCTGTTTTGTCAATAGAGTCTATAGCCAAGGCAGCACATACCCACATTCAGCCAAGCCACCATGTATTCAGAAACCCATGCTTGGCCCGGGAGTTGCTAGATAAAGTTTCTCCGTGTATTTTGGTTACTTGAAGTCTAGTGTTTCCCGCACACTTTTACTGCTTCCCGCTCACAACTGGTAACAACTGTCCATATGTATCAGGCTTAAAAAGGTGACGGTAAGCTCCTAAAGTAGAAGATTTCCACCTCGGAAGAAGGGTTGCACCTTTTCGTGAAGAGGTGTCGTTTTCCGTGTTTGTGAATGCCAGGTGTCTGTTGACTGTTGTTATGCTGAATCTTACAGCTTAATCAAAATGCCCATGCTAAACCCGCAACCTGAGGCCCAAATCAAGCCTGCCAAACACCATCCATCTGCTCTTTTTAATGTAGGGACAACCAATTGTACGTTTTTTGGAACAGAACTGTGCTCTTTATCTCAGATGTGTTCCAATCCAGTGCAGCCGGTGTGAGTGAAATAGAAAAAATACTGAACTCAGGTGATCAGGGTTTAAGCCCACCCAATATTATGATTATCATTTTGACTCACGGGAACTCATGGGAATATATAGATGCACGTCTGTGTCGGTACAGTTGGAAACATTCTTTGACTGAACAAAGTGACACAACTGTTTGGAAGGCATTAATTCACTTTCACTTTCAAGAGTTTGAACAAAAAAGCATTAAGACAGAGGCACAAACACTTTTTCATGTTTGCACCAGTGGGGGCGGGTCCCGGCTCAAAAGTGGTCAAAATGACGTGCGCTGACATGCTGCAGTACCACCCCGGGCCGATGGGGGTGGACCCGGAATAAGAATTAGCCAATGCTAACATATAGCATCTTCTTACCTCTGGAAAACGTCTTTACAGGATGGTCCAAAAGTTGGCTCTTGGCCCAAAGCTCCGTTTCACATGTGTGTCAATGCTGAGTGTTCTGGACCAGTCTAGTTTAGTCGCTGTTAATTTTTGAAGTCTCTCGTTTAAATGAATGGGGCTCATGCAGTTTTTTTCTCATTTTCCAGCCCCCGCGGCCATTTTGAATCACTCCATGAAAGCCCCATTCTTGGCCCATGAGTTAGAACGGCGGAGATAGGCGTGACTACTGTTGACCACTCTACAGTAGGTCATAGGAGATGATTGTGACTCTGTATAACAGTCTTATATCTATCTGGTTAATGGTTTAAATGCTGCTGTTGTGTCCTTGGGAAAGACATCGCCTTTTTGTCTGACATTGTTTTCTGTGCTTGGCGTATCAACATCACAGAAGTTACCTACTGTATAATTATTTTCAAAGAGATCAGGTGCTCATAAAGTTGGGGCTACGTCAATGCCATACCTCACTGACGCCACGATTAACACCTCGAGTAACACACTTGTCATCACCGGTTAGAGTCAGTGACAGATTCACTAGAATAGAAACCATAAGGTGTGTCTGACTCACACACAGAGCGATAAACACGCTTTTTTACTGCTCGATTTACGGTGGAACACATCCCACAGTTAGAAATGAGCCAAATTTGTTTGCGTTGCCTTAGAGCAGGGGTGTGAAACTTTTTTTAGTTGAAGGCTGAATAAAAAAAAGAATGGGCTGGTCAGGGGCCAAAAAAATAAGTGGGTTTCATTTATTACTTTTTTTTTTGGAATTTGAAGGTATCTAAATAAATGACTTGTTTCACATTAGTTAGATTGGACTATAAAGGAAGATTTTCTACTTCTGGGTGGATCATCAACACTATTGGTCCTCCCAACTGTC